GCAAGATCTGTTTTCAAATCCAAAAAGAAAGGGATGAGGAGGAAGAGTGACATCGCAAGGCTGACAAATATTTACTCATAAATTGCTAAAGGTTTTTTAGGCAAGAACACAGGGTTTAAAAGATCACCGCCCCAATATTCTGCTCTGCTGTGCAGAGGCAACAGCAAAACAAGACACCTCCTCTTCCCTTAGTTCCAGCACTGGAATCCAGCACTGTCCCAGAGCAGCTGCACTGGTACAGCTTTAATGGAAACACTGGGCAAAGCCCTATCATATGTGATACAGGAACTTTCCATGCAAGATTTTCCTGGGTAAACATGGATTAAAGGAGAACCAAAGGCTCTGGCAGTGAGCTAAAGGCTCTGAAAATGACCCTAGTAGGATCTTAACTGGCGTGTGCTTTATTTCTGGGTGATTTCTGTGCCCATACTTTTCCCCATGTGTAGTGTTGTAATTGGGGGACAAGTAGGAGGAGTTTGACAGATCATCTGTGTTTTGTCCATTGTGTTTATACTGCGAGTGCATGTCAGAAGCCTCAGTATAGAGCAGCAACTGGGGAAGAATCAGGAGGTCAGGTTGCATGCTCACATTTGAGCTGAGCATGCAAGGAGTGTCGGTTTTAAAATAAAGTGTAACTCACAGTTGTGCAGCCATGTAAGTGACATATGTCTTTGGAAAAAATAATCATAGATTTCCTGCCCATGTATCTTCCCCACTCTGCATACCGCCCACTACAAAAGGTCGGCTTAGAGCAGAAACGTGGCTTCTGATAGCTGATAGCTGCAGCCTCTTCTTTTTGGAACTAGAGACCCTTTGCAGACCCCAATAGTGCTGGTGAAGGGAAAAATCTGAGATGTGCATCAAAGAGTAAAACGCCTTTACCTGTACCCTGTGACATTGTAAATAAATTTTTACCAGGAAATGAAGACTTGGCATCCCAGAAAGATGGTTCATACCTTCTCCAGGTCAAACTAAGGCAAAGGCTGTTGATATTTTTGTATATTAATAGTTTGAGTGCATTTACCTCCCCACCCCCTGCTGTTTGTAGCTTTTGGAAACATGGGTTGAGTTAGAGTATATAGACCATAGAATTTGTCTGGAGTGAGTGCTTGGTGCAAGGACTCTTTTTATCCCATAACAGTGTTATGATTGGCTGGGCGCCGTGTTCAGGGAGGTTCACAGGAGTTAATTAAGAATGGCTCCAGCATTTCCCATAAGAAGTTAATGCAGATAGGATGCAGCGTGCTTAACTGTTGACATGCAAATCATTTCATGAGGAACAAAGCTAATAAGTCCCAAGCCCAGGAAGAAGCTTAGAGAATATCTAGGCACAAAACAGCAGCCAGCTTGTTTGGCTACAGTAATGTCGGTAAGCTATAAACAAGAGCACCCACTCAAGCTACCCTGCTAGCTTGAGGCTTTCCGTGTGCACCGTAGGAACTTTGGATTGGCTTCCCAACAATTCTTGCTGTGTTTGCAACCCTATGGCTTAGGTGACCCACTGCCGATGGACCCTTGTCCCACCTCTGTGCTCTCACATTCGGATCGGTAGAGTGCCTCGGCGGCTGGATGCCACTTTTCTTTCTCTTTCCATGCATCAGTGACAGACTTGGAAAGGTCGTGGCCCTCCAGATGTCTTAGCTTACAAGTCCCATCATCCCTCACCATTGCTTATGCTTTCTAGGACTGATGGGAGTTGTAGGCCTAGACGTCTTGAGGGCCACAGATGGCCCTTCCTTGCTTTATGACTAGCTGTTACAGGTAGCTTTTTTAATCCGAAAGAAGGAAATTCCTGCATCAGACCAGTTCCTTCTGGCCATGTTTTGGTTAGTGTTTCAGTTACTAGAAGAAAAGTAAAATGATGAATAATACCGTACTCCCTTTCCTCCTTTATAAGTTCTCCTGACACACAAGACTTGTGTTCCGTCCAGTGGTGCAGCCAGAAATTTTTCCTTGGAAAAAACTGGGTAAATTCCCTCCCGCAATCATTGGAAAATGTTCCATTGCATAAGTAAAAGTGAACCAATGGCATATACAATATTAGGCAAGCCTGGCAGTTCCAAAGTCGTAATGAATGGCTTTGAGGTGATTATACCTAACAAGTATTGGAGAGAATATATATACATATAGTCACTGAAATACATAAATGTCTCAGAGAAAAATGGAACTCATAAATGGCGTCAGCGACATCTCTGCAGGAGAGAGTTGAACTTTGCAGGAATAGATGAGTGGCTGTCAGCCTTTCATGAAATTTTCTGAGTGGCTAAAATTAATTATGGAATCAACAGTGTTCAGTGTCTTTGATTTTTCTTAAACAATGAAAGGTAAATACATACTATTGCCTTTAAATTTCTAGAAGCGTTCCAGTAAAAATATTTATTTATTTATTTAAAACATTTTTATGCCGCCCCCATCGCAACAAAGCCTCGGGGCGGTTTACAACAAAAACAAAGTTATACAAAGTTATACAAAAACAAAGTTATACAATAAAAATATTAAATATTGACATAGTATCACATTTAAATCATATTGTGCGCTTTCAGTTTTCCTTCTCAAATATTTCTGGTCAAATTTTTGTGGTAGATTGGGAAAAAAATAATATGGGGCACTGTCTTTTGTTTTCTTGATCACTAAATACCAGTAAAATAAATATGCTAAACTAAATCTCTCTAGGGAAGAAGAGTGCAACTTGAGGTCTTCCAGATGTTTCAGCCTGTGGCTCCTATCGATTCAGGATAGCATACCTGACGTTGGAGGTTTTGCAGGCCAAAACAACCAGAGGGCCACCAGCTGTCTGCCCCTGCTCTAGGGCATCACAACACTTTGTTTGTTTGTTTGTTTGTTTATGGGATTTTTAGTCCGTCCTATACAGCAGTTGTCTCAGGACAGCTTACAATGTAATATAAATAAACAATAAATACAATGGCCTATGACTATAATAACAAGATAAAATATGACCAAGGATATTTTTAATAAAACAGATTAAAAAAGATTTAAACTTTAAAATATTGGCTAAATAAAAAGAATTTTACCTGGCACCGAAAAGCATATAAAGCAGGCACCAGGCGAACCTCTCTGGGAAGCGCATTTTCTGGTGCAAGTTATTCCCCCCACCTCCCAGAAATCTCTCTTCATTGATTACTACTGAGATGGGAATGAACAATCCTAAGATTTCATTAGGAAACTCCAATGACTGAATTATGCCTGTCCTTAGAAATCTCTGCATTGAACTGCTGTTAGCCCCACGACCAATTTGGAAACCACCCCTTCCACCCACAAAAAGTTTTCTCTTTCAGCTGCTCACTTGGACATTTTCTGTTTGGTTTAAAAAATAATTTTCGTCCACATGCAACAGCATTAATATGCTATCTGTGACAAAACACACACTGAAGTGGTCAGCATTGTGATGCTGGGTCTCGCACAGCCTTCAGAAGTAAAGAATGAGCTACTTTCCCCCCAGTGGATTTAAGTGGACCATCTAGAGAAAGAGAGAGTTATCTGCCTTTGTCACATACTTCAGACTGTAAACCCAAAATGCTAATTTTCCTGGGGTAAGGCCCCTTGAATTAAGCAGGACTTCTGAAGAGACATGCACCATCACACACTGTTGTATTAACACAGCATAGTTGCTGTTGATTGTTTCAGCATTATCCACCCTTCCTTGTGGCACAAGGACCAGTTAGTCGGCTTAGTGATGAAGGGCGGTTTCTTGTGCTCTGGCATGCAGTGCGGCTCTGAAGTCCCTTTCCCAAAAGCAGCCTCCAAAAACAACCTCCATGCTATCCAGGAAGCTGCTTCCAGAAGCTGTTTCATCTACCCTCCACGTACTAAGCCAGTATTTGCACCGTATGCTAGTTTAAAAGAATTTATCAGCTAAGAAAAGCTATTACTCTTCAACCTTTCTTTTAAGCTTTAGCAATACTTTTGTGGATTTTGCTAACTACAGCATTTCACAAGTTTCAGTGGAAGGAATGCCAGTTGTGCCAGATATAATGGGCCTTTGCGTGCAACAGAAGGCTCTCCTTGGCTGCATTTTCATGGTGTGCACATCAGACGCTCTGACTGCTGTACGGCTTGCCAAGAGGTAGCCAGACATTAGCGCAGATTGAACTACTTAGCTGAGGTTTCCCCCTTCCATGCCTCTTCCAATCTGCTCTTTTGATTTGTTATGTTTAAGCATCTTGTATGTTAGTGCGATGCAAACTACAGCCATAAACCTTTTCATACCCCCTCTTAAAGTGACAGATGAAAATGGTGAGCCAGAGCAGCGGGGGCTGAGCTAAAATAGTTTATCTCGGTATCACTTTGAAAGTGCTTATCAAATCTGTGTATTAGGCTGTTGCTTAGGTCTCTTATAAAACATGGCTCTAAAAATATGCCGAATAATTATAAGGGAGATTTCTGTATCAGCAGCTGGAGAGAACCTAGTTTCTCAAGTTCCTAAAAATGTGATGTGAACCTCTAGCAATCTGAATTTGTCACACTTTTCTTGGAAGTACCTAAGAACATGGTGGTGTTTCTCCTATGGATTTAAAACAACATTTGCCCAAATATTGATGGCAGAAATACATAAAAAGCGATGAAACATGGGCTCTCCAAGTTTTCATGATTCCACAGGCTTGGTTTTCTGGAGAAAACACAGACCTCATTGTTAACCCTTTTTATTTTTCATAGAAAGGCATTGTGTGAAATTTCTGAATGTATGAAGCAGCACTGTTCAAAGTCTGCCTGAAATGCCTTAGGTCATCCACAATAATGAGACATTCCTGGAGTGCACCTTTTTATTGTTCCAATATTATGTTACTGAGAAAAGAAAAAAGAAAAAAGTTTTGAGTGTGTGTGTGCGCGCATGTGTGTGTAGCAAGGGGGAGAGCTTAACGTTTAGCACCTGTCACAAGTTTTCTCCTTAAATTAGACTCCCTTGCATATAAAATTTTAATAGATTCCTAGCAGTTTATGCGCATGGTGCTCAGTAGGAGTTCTTTCTGTTCTCTTGCCAGCTACACGGTTACTTAGAAAGTGAGCCGCTCACACTACAGCTGTTCATCGGCACTGCAGACGACCGCCTGCTGCGGCCCCATGCCTTCTACCAGGTCCACCGGATCACTGGGAAGACCGTTTCCACAACCAGCCTCGAAACGATACTTTCCAATACCAAAGTCTTGGAAATTCCACTTCTGCCTGAGAACAACATGAGAGCAATGTAAGGCCCGTATCCTCTGTATGCTGAGGTGCTTTCTGCCTGTCTGCCTTTTTTCACTCTGTGCTCATTCAGTATCTTTTTTGTAAGCTGCAGGATACTATCCAAGCCCCTTCTCATTTAGTTAATGCCTATTGCTTTTATACAGTAGTTTTCCCTTAATTGTTTGAATACCCAAATCAGTCTTGCTAATAGTTATTTAGGACAACCGATTTCCCTCTGCCCACCCCAGTGTGAGTGTGTTCCCCGCTACAGTTGGAACCAATGTGCTTCTTTGCCATTTCAAATCAGTATATCAGTTACCGAGCTGTAAATATCTCCTACCTCAGCTCCTCCTTTTAGTTTCTTAACCTGACACCACCTTATTTCTGTAGCCAATTCTGCAAGAAACAGCCTATTAGAATTCTTCCTAAGAAAAGCGAGTGGGACTGTGTGTATATACTCAGGCAGAATTTGATAAAGGTCATTTTTGACATTGCATCTGAATGACACACAGAGTTGTTTGCAGGTTTCTCCCAACATTTGCTTTTAAAAAGCAAGGGCAGCCATGGAAGTGACAGTTTTGAGCAGAGAACCAGTGGAGGCTCTCTAGCTGTTTTTTTCAGCTCAGAACTTCCCCTGCTCCACCCCAATTGCTTTGCTTTCTGTATGGGAAAAGAAACTTTGTCTGTGTATGGAAAGTGGCTTTCAGGATGGGTGATTCTGGAAAGAAAAATGGTCAGAGGGCAAAGGATTATTCAGTTTCCTCTGACTAGGCTTCCAGTGAAGATTGTAGCCTTAACTATGGCTTTTGATTAAAAAAAGTTGGGGAAAATATGCACAGAACGTCATATCATGTGTGGCTTTCTGCTTAAAACACTGAGGTAGGGTTAAGATATCAATTCTTTTGTTAAGGATTGTCATTCTGTTCCAAAGATGTGTGTTTAGTAAAGCCAAATGAAAATGGATATGAATATTAGGGCTAAATACTGCTTAAATAAATATTCATTTCTCCTAACATTATCTCACTTGAAAAAAAAAACTAAACAGGAGAGAGCTTTAGGCCCTCACAACTAAGGCCTGTCCTGTCCTCTATTGCCCTTGTGTCCCTGAATATTTTTCAACATTGGTAAGGTGTGCATTAATTATTTGTCATTGCTATTGAATTTAACAGCATGTGCAAATGTGCAGTAATATCTCTGGCTGCAGTTTTGTGTACACATATCTGAAAGTAACCCTTACTGGATACAATAGGACTTCTTTTTGTGGAAATGTGCCTAGGGTTGTACTGTGGGGGTGCCAAATAAATGGCTGGATTTGTACAAGGCTGTGCCCTTCCTGTGTGGAATCATTCACAAGAGAGCCTGGGCCCCACTTTAGGACCAAGCCAGGCGACAGGTGACAGATGGAGAGACCTCACTTGGACCTTTCATGCCACTGCAAGATCAGACCCATAATTATCGATTTCCACAAGCTGGCCCAGATCTCAGCTGTGTGAGGCCTCCTTGTATATTAACTAGTCTAGCCCTGTGTCTGTTTAATCCTGTGAAAGTAGCAGAGCTGCTTACTAGAATGTCAGGATTAATAAAATGTTGTGGGTCCTTGCAAAACCATTTGGATCAATGAAGCGGTGCTGCACGTGCATTTACATACTACTGGAAGGCAGTATCTTTCACAGAAATTGCATCTGTAACTGTCAAGGCCTTAGAAGAAAGAATTACTCACTGAGTTTCTCATTTAAACACTTCCATTTACTAATTTTTGAAGTTACAGGCAGTCCCCGAGTTACGAATGTCCAAGTTACAAACAACCGGTGCTTACAAATGAACAGCTATAAAGCACATTGATTTAAAAAATCACTGCAGAAAATTATCATCACCATAGTGAAAGAGAGAAGAAGAAGCAAACAGGGAGGGGATGACCGCCAAAGCAAGTCTTCCTGCCCCACCCATCTGGAGAGGGAAATCTCTCTGCCATTTCCTTGCTGCAAAGAGATGAGTCTAGTAATATTCATGGTTTTTCCACTTTCATGGGGGTCCTGTGCCCCTAACTCCTGTGAATGTAGAGGGCCAACTATACGTGATCTGGTTTACATACAAATTCAACTTAAAGATAAATTTCCATTTTCTCAGAAACGGAACTCATTTGTAACTTGGGGACTTCCTGTACTTCAATGCTATTATATTTAAAGAAAGAATTTCCTAGCTCCATGGCAATGAACATCTCGGTCCTATGAAAAATTGGCTTGCTAACAGAGCCAAACTAGTAGCAAATTTGACTGCAAATTTGTGTTTGCCCTTGCTATATGCATACCATTGAATTTGATCTTACTATAGCAGGAATACGGAATAGTGCTGATGGACTTCTGGATGGCTCTTGCCTTATTTCTTGGCCCCAGCTTTCTGTGGCAACAGCATGCTGCATTCTGCAGAGGGCAGGTGCCCGCTTACTTCCACAGATTCATTTGTAGCCCTGGTGCAATGCTGAAAATTATGGGCAGCATTGGCCTTGGGACTGATCTGACATGCTTGCTTGCCAGTACAGCAGCTCATCAGATAGAATGTTCCCCCCCCCCCCTGCAAACCAGAAAAGAAGACTGCTCTGCCCATTCTTGATACTTTATAGCAAAAGACATGTGCCAAATTCTAGCTGAAAGTGTTTGCAGAACCTGGCTTTACTCCACTGAACTCAGTGGGCATGTAGTCAATTTATATAAACGGAGCATATGGCCAGCCATCTTCCCAGTTACTGAAGTCAAGTTACTATTTTCTCATTTTTGGCAGGCAAATGGCATATATACCTTCACCAGAACTTGCATCATAATGACAAATTTGACAGCAGTTTGGTGTGCAGACTGGGTGCATCTTTTTCTTGGTGCTGAGATGCAGCAAAAAGAGAAGATTCATCTGTTGAATGTCTGTAGGTCATGCACTTGTTAAAATAGCAGTCACTTTGCTAGAAAAGAGTAATTGTTGTATATAAAGGGGCTGATTCAGATACAATACCGAGGCATAGTCTGGCATGAAAACAAACTCTTAGTGAGCCTTGTGGCTGGGACATGCCATCCTCCTGCCATGGTACACCTCCTCCCTTTCCTGGTTTGAGGCAAGCCTTTGTTTGCTACTCCTTCAGTAAACTATGATTTTCACGAACCCTGTAAACCAAGATTAGATGCTATAATCAAACCATGGTTTCCAGTTCTGGCTTTCAAGGCAAGCATCCTCAAACCAGCAAAGGAAGGAAGGAATGGTTGTGCTAAAGAAAGGAGGAAAGTACAAGCCTGAGGCTTCTTGTAGGTTAATATTTGTAGTGCCTAATTGTGTTATCTCTAATTCAGCTCAAAGCCTGAGGGACTGAAAGACAAGGGTGGTGAAATTTGCATACTTATTCTATATCTTTCATTTTACTAAAGGCTGAGTAGTTTTCTGAGCCAGAACCTATAAATTTTCATTAAACTGTTGTTCTGTTAAATGCTACAGTTATGCAAATACACACTGGCTTCTAATCAAATTAAAACTCAAGTTAATGCAATGGCAGGCATGAAATTTGGCATCATAAAAGGATTGTATGTGTATACAGAGTAGTATCGTAGAAAATGTCAGAGTTTTTGCATGATTCTTTTTCCTAAGATGCTATTTTCATAAAGAGCAGAAAGTCATTGTTCCCAAACAAAATTGCATATATTTCCATTTATCAGATAAGTGCCAGAAAGATTAATGACATGGCCCAACCCTGGTAAAATTTATCATACAATTGTGAGTCCTAGGGCTGATTTTTCTATTAAAAGGTTTATAATTGGTAAGGGAGACAACTGCCTTTCTCCCTGTGTACGCCTCCTAATCTCATGTAGCTTTTTTAGCAATTGGTGCAAAAATAACAGTAGGGACCATAAACAGCTCATGTTGGATCTGTGACGGTACTCCTGGTAGTGTAGTTAATGGGCTCCTGGATTGAGAACTCTTGATCGAATGAGGGAATAAGCAGGAAGGAATGGACTTCTGAAAGGAATTAGTTCTTTGAATAGATGCTATATGGGAAATCATGTGTACACTTCAGTGCACTTTTTTTTTACACTGACATAAAATGTGATGACAGCATGAAAGTGTGTCATACTGGAAGTTTGTGAAAGTTAAAATAGCATGGTTTTGATTTTTAATTTAATTTAATTTAATCTGATTTGATTTGATTTGATTTGATTTAATAGCATTGACTGTGCTGGAATACTGAAACTTAGAAATTCAGACATTGAGCTGAGGAAAGGAGAAACTGACATTGGAAGGAAGAATACGCGAGTTCGGCTGGTCTTCCGTGTTCATATCCCCCAGCCTAATGGAAGAACCCTTTCTCTTCAAGTAGCATCAAACCCCATCGAATGCTGTAAGTATCATTCCCTCTCACGCGCGCACACTCTGCCACTCTCCATCTATGTGCCTATGAAGCATCAATAAATTCTGCTCCTCTGTCTTGCTGAATGCCATCAAACTCGTTTCATGTCTATACATGCATTATTTTGCACTGATTGTGGCACTTTTCTTTTTAATCTGATCAGCTCAAAGATCTGCTCAGGAGCTGCCTTTGGTTGAGAAGCAAAGTGTTGATAGCTACCATGTGATGGGTGGAAAGAAAATGATACTGAGCGGACACAACTTTCTTCAGGACTCCAAAGTCATATTTGTGGAGAAAGCTCCAGGTATTTAAAGCACTGGTCCTAAACTCAGTTGCAGATCTGTTATCCTGTGTTATTGGTATAGTCATGAATACTAATCCTACACTGAAATAAAAGGTATTGCTCTCCACCCTAAACATTTATGCTCTGCTGCAGCCAGTTTTAAGTATGCATGTTCAGCCTGATCCAATGTTGAAGTCTGACAGAGTTCATTGTGGCTGGCAAGGAGGGCTACAAAAAGGGCTTTCCTTGATGCATTTTTTTAAACAGCAGCCTGTGGATGAAGCTCTTCTGTAGAAACAAATATGGGCACTTGCACAAACATGAAAAGTAGCATTGGCCTATCCTAGCTTAATGGTTTGTTTACCTTTACATTATATGTCTTTCCAGTGATACTTTCACATTATCTTTACATTATGGTACATTGGAAAAACAGCTTGATTGATTGAGAGAAGTGCTGGCAGAAGAGGCACAGAAGGAGATGGTTTCCCTGCTTCCTCTTCTCCCAGCACCTCCCTCCCACCAGCACCTGCTCTTGTCTCTTCTGGATGTGGTAAGAGTTGCTGCACAGGGTTGAGACGGAAGGGAAGAGCAATGGAAATTTGCCAGAGGCACCTTCTGTGAGCCCTTTGAAATCGTTTTTAACTGAAGTATGTTGACTTGAAGGTCAGCAGTATGGATGGATATGTTTGCCCACCCGTCTAAGACATTTCTGGTGTCAGACACAGGGAATACCAAAAAATCTGGGCCAGATTTGTTTCCTCAGTGAGATTGCCTAGTGATCGACCTTGTGCTTTATGTAAAGAGCAGAGGCATTATTGGAAGGTGATGGTATCTATAGCATTGGAAGGTGTGCTTGTTAGGCCAGATAATATTGTAACCAACGTAGGTGAGGATTTGCATTTGTACAATAGTTTGTTGCATGGCCATTTTGCATATCTTTTTACAAAAGCACCCTTAGAGCCAAACTGTATGTGACACAGAAATCCTGTGTCTATTTTACCTTGGTCTCAGGTGGGCTCTGAACTGATTTGGAGCAGTGGAGCTGGGGTTATTTTCTGATATAAGTCAGTATCTTGAAATTAGGAATCTACAGAATAGGAAATTCATTTTGAATCCACACTATACAGAATAACCAGTGGATCAGCCTGTCTTTTCCTGAAAGCTTATGCATTGCATTTAATGCTAACTTTTCCAAATTTACAGTCAAATTGTATACTCATACTACAGCATAGCAACATGCAGTTATTGACATGTATGTATATATTTCTGGACACACTGAGAAAGTGCTTAGGTTAACTGGCAACAATCAGGTTAAAACCATAGAAGAGGTTTGTAGAGCCTTTTTGGGTCCAGTGAACTAATGCATCATGTATAACTTGGCCCACAGAATGGTCTTATACTATCAAACATTCTCTGTTGGTGATGGATGTCAGTGCGAATGATGTAATTGCATGTCATGTTTATAATATTTCTCCAAATAATCTAACAGAGCCTCTGATTTGATTTGGTCCTAGTTAGCAGGAGCTTCTGTTACATATACTAAAGATGCTTTCTTTCATTTCTTCTTTTTTAAGTGATGGAACTGAGTTTCATTTTTGCTGCTTTCTGATCACATTTATTTCTTATTCCATTTTCTCCTTAACAATTCCAACAATTAGTTGACAAAATGCACTATTGACAATGAACACATATTGAAAATGTCTTTCTGTGCAACAGAAAATGTAAATTCTCATTGCTACATTAAATGTGAGACATGTGCAGTTTTCTACATTTCATAGTTGCTTGTTTAGGGATCTTATCACTGATGAACAATCTGTCTGGGAATGACGCAAAGAAATACAGTTCCAAGAGCAACGCTCAAGAAAGAAGCACAATTTTGTTATCTGTCCTTTTACTACCTGAAATTACTGTGCTTTTTCTGAGGTGCTCTGTGTTCCCAAGCAAGCAGGAAGGGGCTGCAGGGGCATGAAACAACTTGACACTTTGTGGGGCCAAGTTTCTTTGCCATTTTAGCCTCAAGCTGCTAGAGAGACAGGGACTCAAGTAACTATACAAAGGAAGGTCCAGATAAAAGAGAGAGGTTAGTATGGATGAATGGATAGGTAGATGTAAAAAGACAAGGTCAGTGAAGGTGAGAGCAAAGCAGGAGGAGCGGTTTTTTAAGGCTTTCTTGTTTTGGAAAGGGTTTCCGTGGTGCTGGCACAAACCAGACATTCCACAGCTGCTTGCCGAAACCCCCTGAACTTTAAGCTATCTCCTGAAATTCTCAAGCACTTCACTTCTCAGAGCCATTCAAATGAAGGCTCTTTGATAATCATGACCGTTTAACCCTCAACATTCATGGAGTTCCAAAGTGATTGCTCTTCTCCTCTGCAATCTGGGATTGGCCCTAATGGTACAATATGTTAGAGGCACGTGTCCTTTTGCTGAGTAAGACCGTCTCTTTCAAGTGTCAAATCAAGCCACAGTACAGTGTCAGTGATGCAAACTGACCGGGTCAAAGAAATGCCCTCCCTTAGCCCCTCTCACTTTCTCCTAGTCAAACATAGACTGAATAAGTGAATAATGATCTCAACAAGGGGTGTTCCTCAAACTGTGAAGCCTGAGGAGAAGAGGAGCCAGGAAAGACGGGTTTAGGTAGGGGGCTCAGGGCTGTCCAACAACCACTGTGGAGCATGGACTGGGAGAGAATTGAAGCAGTGTTCTGGGAGAATAAACAATAATTTTAAAAATGTCAGGATCTGAAGTATGCAGATATGGCATGCTTCCCACACTCCCCCCTCCACATGCTGTAGTGCCTAACTGGGGGCTCAAGATTTGCTGTGAGGCACTTCCTTGGAAAGTAAATTTCTAGCCATTAAGTACTGCATAGATCTACTCAGAAGTAAGCACCATTGAGTGCAGTGGAAGTTCCTTTCAGATCTAGATTAGGCCGACAGCCTAGGGCAGAGTTGATAACCAATATTGTGAATGTGTATTTCTATTTTTAGCCCTGCAGCTGATGACATGGTTAATGATAAGGATTCTTTTAAAAATGTATAACATGTAACCTTTCTGCAATAAGCCTGCAAAGCCAAAACACTTAGGCAGAAAAAACACTCCAGGGGCAAGGTTTCGGTCTATGTTCATTAATATGATTTATAAATAGATTTAGGTAAAGTGCTTCAGTCAGTTGTAGGCCCCGATACAGTATCCTGAGCCAAAGTCATGAGCTATGCCTGCCTTTAACAGCTAGCTTTCAGTTGTTTGATCTCTAGAGGAATAGTATTTTCCTTGCATGGAAAGTGGGCTGGGGGTGAGTGATTGGCCTATCTTAAGAATGACTCATATGAAAGGGAATCCCTGAAGAATGAGCAAGTCCATTCTTGAACCTGAAGTCAGCAGCAAAGCCATGCTCTCGAGTTAACTCCCACATCCCTGCCATCCAGCAAAAGAATCAGAGAAGCCATCTGAAATGCTAGCATCACTGAAACAGATGCACCCATGGGCATACTTGGGGATCTGAGAAATCGTGTGGGCACCATTACAAAGTGGCTGCCACAGAGGATATGGCATCACGTGACAGGGGCTAATGGGAGTGGAGCGCTGGCTGGTCAAAGCAGAGTTGGGGGCAGGATGAGAAATAGCAAAGCCAGGAACTGGGAGGAGGAAGGAAATAGCAAGGCTGTTTTGCTATCTAGCAAGGGTTGAGGAGAGACAAAGCAAGGCTAGACACTGGAAGCGGGAGAAACTGTAAGGTGAAGAGGTGGGAAGAGAAATGACAAGCTGGAGGCTGGGAGGGAAAGGAAATGGCAAGACAAAGGTACAAGGAAGGAGTGAGGCCAGAGACTGGGAGGGGGAAACCAGTGAACTAACAATGTTGTGGGACTAGGTGCTGGGAAGGAGGGCTAAATCGCAAGAGAAAGGGGAAAGGGGAAATGGGGAGGGAGGGCAGGGCTAGAAGCTAAAAAGGGAAAGACAGAAGGATAGGGACATGAAAGGGCTATGGATAGAAATGGTGAGGCTGGAGACTGGGAGAGAGAGAAAGCAGAAAGGAAGAAAGGTCTGTGTGGATGGAAGAATGGGCAGGGTCAAAAGCAGCTCTTTTTTTCTCTGCTTGTCTGCCAACACCTGATCTGCAGTGGGCAGAATAAAAGGAAAACCTGGTGTCCCTACATTGTCAGGTATTATCAATGAGACAGGGGGCAGAAGGCTCTGTAGGTCCCATACTGTCTGTTGCACTAAGTACAATGGGTAGGCAAAAAAGATGGATCACTGCAGATGCCTGTCTGAAAAGGGAAAGAAGCATCACACAGAAGGACTCACCTGAAGACAAGGATTAATTTATGTGCGGAGAGCACCAGGGGAGTCGGGGGAGTGGCTGGAGGATTGCTATCCTTGCAAGAAGTGGAACTGTTTTCTTCAGCAGCGTATTATCATTTTCTTAGATGTTCTATAGAACAGTTCTAAAAACTCAGGTGTTGAAGTAAACATTCAGCGGAATGGTGTTTTGACAACAGTTTATCGCTTGCACAAACAGCTGTATTTTCCAGTGTTGAAAGCCACTATGTGTATCCAAGACATTTAGTCACAGAGCTGTTAGACAGAAAGGGAAAAGAAAAGGATGCCCCTTATGCTCTGAACATTCAACTTCCTTGCATGCAGCATTTTCTTATAGCAAGTGAATTCAGTAGTTATTTTGGCTTGTTCGAATTTCTGCTTGTCCAGCAAGAATTCTGGTTTTGTTCTGTTTTTTTTTTTTTTTTTCCCAGTTTCTATTTTAATTTGGTGTAGATCATAGTTTTCAACATAGCATTTCAGGAGCAACAATGAGTTTGATATGGGGTGAAAACTTCCAAAAGTGTGAATACCATTCCTTTGAAACATGTTACATGCTTTGAAGGAAACTGCAGAATTCTGAATGTAATAGCCCACGCCAAGATAATTCAGTAAAACCTTTTGTAAAATGTGGCAACATTGTGGTTTGTTCATTGATGACCTTACAGATCCTGTTCACATAATCATGTTTGAGAATCACTGAT